CCTCGCTGCCCTGTGGACGCAGGGCCAGTAACTTGCATTAGTGAGTATATTTGTATTAGGCTTGCACAGCATCTACCGCACTCCAGGCTCACCCACCTGGACTTGCTGTTATGGTGGAGTTAAGAAGACCAGATGATACGGTGCGATCTAGCGCCTGGGCGTGCCATCCCATTTGGTATGAGTGTGCACTTTCCATTGCTGCCTTTGTCCTGATCTGACCCCGTGTTGGTTCAGTGCATCAACCGGGTGGACCATCTTGGAGGAATAACAATGCGTATTAGTTTTTAGCTGAAGCACAAGGCATTGTATAACACAAAGGATAGGCTTAGACACGTTCTTTTTTGAAAATATTTCTTCTGATCCCAGAGACGCAGGTAGCTTTATAGTAAACCGTTGATGGTGCTTTTTAGGCGACTGTAGTCGTCCCTATTTAGCCTCAGTACAAAAACGAACACGGATAGCTTTGCTGGTTGTCAGCCTCTTGCTGAAGAAGTGCTAGTTTCTTCAAATACTCAACTAAACAACGTAAAACTGTCTTTTGTTACCAGAGAGATAGTTGAATTAAATTTCAGAACTGTAAACGGAGCCGTCCGTCACCACAGTTGCTCTACCTAAACGTGCTAGTCATAGGGTTTCCCAGTCGCTGTGCTTCCCGTTTATTTGTTCAGAGCCTATCCTATAGCTTTCGTTCTATTCTCTTACTGTGAAGGTTGCTGGGATTGTCTGTTGATCATAGCCCTCGGATTGGAGACCTACTTCCTCTGGACATCACTACCGTTTGCCTCTGCGCTGAATACTTCCTTCTCACGTTTACTGTAGTTGCACTGCCGTCATTAGCCTAGTTTATTCCAATACACACGACTGGTTTCACTCTTCCTCGGTAATTGTTTACCCGCTTAAATATCATCGAAATATCCGGCCGACACAGAACAGAATGGTGACTCACTCCCACGAGCATGCACTTTGATTGTGTCTAATCTATCAAGTCTGTCCGTCTGGCTGGCCTGCTAGTTAGTCGTGCGATTGAACATCCGCATTTTTATAGAGAGCTATTGGGTGGCCCCGAGGTCTGCGTAATTCAAACAGTTGCCCGTTGGTTAGGGCCTTTACTCGTAAATCTATAGCCCAATCGACTTCTTGATACTACCAACCAGGAAGGAGGGAGTTGTACTTCCGTTGTGACTTTTCCTCGGCAAGGATAGGTCGGTGAGCTGACCATTTCTGGCTTATTCGCCGTCATCATTTAGAACTAGCTCAACTTAAGACTACACATCCGATGTTCAAACCCGCATCAGATGACTACCAGGCAATGTTACTACGGGTTCACGTTATATCGACTGCGATAATTGGTTTTCAGTTATGTGGGGTATGATCCGCGCCGACCGATTGTGATCGTGAGACAGACCTGCTGCCTATGCGACCGCTAACAATCGGAAGGAATTTGTGTGTCCGCGATGCTTCCATCTGACCTGATATTATGCGACACCACGTTCTCTGTTGCAGGTCCTCATCGACGACAACCTACCAGACTCCCGCGACAGGGCTGTTAAGCCGACTGGAGGCCAGTCAGTCATCACTCTTCAACTTCAGCACCCGAAACATGCAGGTCAACGCGGACAACTCTGTCTCCCCGGTAAAGCCGCCTTGCGCCCGACCCCCCTCGTCGTTGTCGTCATCGTCTAGGGGGCAGCAGCCCACCACCAGCTCTGGCGCCGTCTCGTC